TAAAACATACATGACACTTCAGAGAAGGGAGAGTGAGGCAATGTTATTGATGAGGCAAAGGAAGGAAAGATGCCTGGAAGAAATAGATTTGAAGGTGTTGGGCAGAGAGCAGGCTTACTGAATAGGAAATTGGAAATTTTTCCAAGCATTGGGATGAAGAGGCAAAGGAAGCAGTAAATTGAGAGAATAGGGAGGAGCCAGAGGGGGATACTTAATATTGAGCCTTTACACCTTTCCTCCAAGTTGAGTGCAAAACTCTGATGAAACAGTATTATGACTGAGCATTGAAACGTAGACAAATCTATTTTTTATAATGTCCCATAATTCAACCATACCTCTGCAAATGTTTTATATTTTCTTACATATCATACTGTCAATCCTAGAAACCTTCAGAATGAAAATATTTGTCTTTAAGAGCTCTAAGATGATAGATGAGAGCCAAAAAATCTGCTTCATTCTCTCCATCCTCTGAACAAGCCTTCCCTGATTTCTGTGACCCTTCTGCAGATATTGAAGCAGGACCCCTCCCCATAAATTATGTGGAGAATCTCCTGCTCTTTGCCATTTGATCTCAGAGCATGGATCCACTTCTTGGCTATGTGCCTATTCCGTCATGCTCCCCACCAGCTGCTATGAAGTTGTCTGCTTGTCCTGTCTCTCCGCATGAAGGAATGGGTGGGCCCAGCAGATGGGGATAAGGAGGTCAGAGGAAGGAGAGATGTGATTGGGTTGGATTGGCGCATCTAAGAGCCCTGAGTTGCAGCCTTTCCTTCCTTTGCCTAACTACAGACTCTCCCTGTCCTGCAACAACCCCCTCCCAGAATCTTAGGAATGGGTCAATCCTGAAGGGTTAAAGTGTATTTTTGCATATGTTTTTTACACCACTTGATTCAAAGCCCAACTAGGTGTTTCTGCAGTGCAATTAATAAGAAACGTGTGCACGCTCCCCCCACTCCCCGAATAAATAGTGTCCAAAATTGAATTTATGCCAGTGTGCAACAAGGATGAATTACAGTTGCTGAGGATACCATAATGTTGTATTTCTGAACAAAGAATCATAGAAGATTAGGGTTGGAAGAGACCTCAGGATGTCATCTAGTCCAACCCCCTGCTCAAAACAGGACCAACCCTGCTCAATGGATAGTGATCAATGGCTCCATGTCTAGCTGGCAGACGGTATCAAGCAGAGTGCCCCAAGGGTCGGTCCTGGGGCCGGTTTTGTTCAATATCTTCATTAATGATCTGGAGGATGGCGTGGACTGCACCCTCAGCAAGTTTGCAGATGACACTAAACTGGGAGGAGTGGTAGATACGCTGGAGGGTAGGGATAGGATACAGAGGGACCTAGACAAATTAGAGGATTGGAAAGAAAAAAGAAACCTGATGAGGTTCAACAAGGACAAGTGCAGAGTCCTGCACTTAGGACGGAAGAATCAAATGCACTGCTACAGACTAGGGGCCGAGTAGCTAGGCAGCAGTTCTGCAGAAAAGGACCTACGGGTTACAGTGGACGAGAAGCTGGGTATGAATCAACAGTGTGCCCTTGTTGTCAAGAAGGCTAACGGCATTTTGGGCTGTATAAGTAGGGGCATTGCCAGCAGATTGAGGGACGTGATCATTCCCCTCTATTCAACGTTGGTGAGGCCTCATCTGGAGTACTGTGTCCAGTTTTGGACCCCACACTACAAGAAAGATGTGGAAAAATTGGAAAGAATCCAGTGAAGGGCAACAAAAATGATCAGGGGGCTGGAACACATGACTTATGAGGAGAGGCTGAGGGAACTGGGATTGTTTAGTTTGCAGAAGAAAAGAATGAGGGGGGATTTGATAGCTGCTTTCAACTACCTGAAAGGGGGTTCCAAAGAGGATGGATCTAGACTGTTCTCAGTGGTACCAGATGACAGAACAAGGAGTAATGGTCTCAAGTTGCAGTGGGGGAGGTTTAGGTTGGATATTAGGAAAAACTTTTTCACTAGGCGGGTGGTGAAGCACTGGAATGGGTTACCTAGGGAGGTGGTGGAATCTCCTTCCTTAGAGGTTTTTAAGGTCAGGCTTGACAAAGCCCTGGCTGGGATGATTTAGTTGGGAATTGGTCCTGCTTTGAGCAGGGGGTTGGACTAGATGACCTCCTGAGGTCCCTTCCAACCCTGATATTCTATTATTCTAACCCCAACTAAATCATCCCAGCCAGGGCTTTGCAAGCTGGGCCTTAAAAACCTCAAAGGATGGAGATTCTACCACCTCCCTAGGTAACCCATTCCAGTGCTTCACCACCCTCTTAGTGAAATAGTTTTTCCTAATATCCAATCTAGACCTCCCCCATTGCAACTTGAGACCATTGCTTCATCTCAGTGAGGTGTTAACTCAGGTACTTAAAAATTTTGATATTTTTAGTATCATTAACTAATGCACTGCTAATCAAAGTGGGGAAGACAGAAGTAGGGTGATCATATTATGAACAACTGCACTCTGCTGAGAGAGGAATCTCATTTTAGTCACTCAAGTGGGTGCAGCTTATTTTGTGGACAGAGCAGAGCTTGGATGAGTACCAATACCACCTTTTTCTAATCTGCCCCCTGCTTGTCCTCATTAATTGCCTAATCCAAAATCCATTGAAGTCATTGAAGATGCCCATTGACGTCAGTGGGCTCTAGATCAGGCCCAAAGTATTAAGCACATGATAAATTTGTTTAAATTTTTTTTATCACAACCACACTGTCTTCCCCTCTTCCCCCCGCCCCAAAATTACTTTTAGCATGAAAATATCTACTTTCTTTTTCCACCTTCACCCCACAAATGGATACATTCATATAACTCAGAAATGGCTATATGGAAGTGTACCTAACTTGTCCAAAATATTCACCTTTGGTTGAATAACAAACAAGAAATTTCAGCTCAAAGGTTAAATTGCTCTGCATACAAGCTCCTTAAACGGGAGGTTTGTAAGGTAACTTCAGGTTCAGCCTTAATTAAATGTTGCTGTCATCGTTTTAGGTGACTGTGAACTAGTAATTCAGAAAATTTTAAAGTGACGTCAGCCCACTTTCTTTAACATACGATGGTTAATCTTGCAGTAACATGTCAGAGTGTCTCTCGTTAAATTTTGGGGTGGAATATATCCTGGTTTTAAATACATTTTTGCAGTCCTGAAGATAAGACTGTCTTAATTTAACCTTAATAATTCCTCCATTTTTATGATCAAGTAACCTTGATGGTTGTTAATGTTTCTGGCTTTTAAAAAGAATCTGCAATTAAAAAAACATAACCAGGAAGTGAGTGATTCTAACAAAAATATGGCAGATATTTTTATAATAAAACTCTATTACACATTCCATTAAAAATACTGCCTCGAATAGCTGTAATTCCCATCAGGAAACTGATACTATTTGAGCATCTGTAACAGCCATTTGCTATTATCCATTTTTCTGTATCCCACATTACTGATTTGGTACTATACATTGTGTAATGTTAGTGTTTCCTTTAGCATTTTAGGAAATTTGAGGGATGAAGTTATAGTTTCTCAATTCAATGGATTATGTGAAATGGATTAGTGTGATCTCTGTCCATTTGCTGGGGGATATATATTGGGCCTGCAGAAGCCCTGCACTTCAATTAGTACTAACTTTCACTTGTATTAGCAGCCTAAGCAGAGGGGTCAAGAACTAATAATTGAATGGGCATAGAGTGCTTTCTCCTTTCACCCATAACTATGGTTTTTCTTTCATACTGGTTAACTGTATTAACTATTCTGTGGATGTAAAATTTCAGTTTCTAGAGGCTTGTCTACATAACCCGCTGGATCAATGAGCAGCAATCAATCCAGCAGGGATCGATTTATCACATCTAGTCTAGACGCGATAAATCAACCGACGAGCTCTGATACTCCACTGCGGTGAAAGGCACTGCGGAGTTGACGGGAGAGCGTCCGCTGTTGACTTGCCTCACATAGCTGAAGTTGCATAACTTAGATCGATTACCCCCCAGTGTAGACCAGACTTAGGTCTTTAAAGTTCGTGAGAGTTACCAAACCTAAATTTACTTGAATAAAACTCTTTGGTGGTGGTGTGGTTTTTGTTTGTTTGTTTGTTTTTGGTGTGTGGTTTGGGGGAGAGGGGGAGTAGGTATGGTGGTTTCTTTTTGTTTTGTTTTTTGTTGTTTTTTTGTTTTTTTGAGGGAAGTTAATTTGTGTTGTCTTTTGGTCTGGTCCCAGTCCTGGTCTGGTTTTTTGGCTTCCCAAAATGGGATCTTTTAACAGTTAGTGTGGTAATATCTGTTATCTGTGTATCAGTTATCCCTTTAGTTTTGCATTCTTGAAGACTAGAAATATGAGGAAAATATCCTTTTAACAATAAAGAATTAAGTTAACTTGTGCTTCATCTATACATGTGTGTCCCAAAGGCCCAAGCTCCTCCACATCTTCTCTTTTTAAAACTTAAGCCTTCATGTATGCATTATGTGTTAGATTAAAAAATAAATTACTAGAGACTGATAAATATTAGGTGTCACCCATTTCTACTGAACGTTCTTATTTTTCCAGATAACTGCCATGTTCTCCTCTTGAATTATGTATTTCTCAAGAGTTTAAATCCATGGAGAGTTCTGCTGTTGAGATAATATTACAAGTACCTTTTTTTCTCTTTTGAACATTAGTTAAAATAATTTTGATTGAATTATTTAACTTATTGGCACAGCTCTAGCTTTAACTGTACTTCCAAATGTTCCATGATCTCACTGTCCATTTCCATGCATGTTAACGTTTAAGCTGTGTTCTGATGGTCTAACTCATTTATATCATATTCTGTATGGATATTGTGTATGTATTTTTTAACAACATTTAATATTGGATAAAATATCTTTGTACTTAAGAAACAAGGCTCTGCACTCTTCTGTTTTTTTTTAAAGCATATCATTAGGATATAGCAGTGAATAATGATGATGATAATAATAATAATCTTTATAGACTTACCTTGTGCACATTACCTATAATTTTTTTTCTACAGACATTGATGATACTCAAATTCTTCCACGTCCATCTCGAGTCAGACATTTTTCACAGAGCGAGGACACGCCAAGTGAAGTTTTTGGTGCACTGAATGAGGAACAGCCACTGCCAAGAAGCAGCAGCACATCTGACATCCTGGAACCATTCACAGTTGAACGAGCCAAAGGTGCAGTTCCTGTCATTGACAGTTCATCCCATCATGCGCCAAGCTTACAGAGTTCCACTGAGACCTCTTCAATATATAGATCCACTGAAAGTCATATTACTGATACGAATAGCAGAGAGTCCTCCTTGGAAGTTGGGGATAGTATTTATGACCATCTCTGTCATTTGATAGGGCCAGTAGATCTTGCAAATACATCCTTTGAACAAAGCCAGTATGTTGACCTTGAAGGTGAAGATGATCTTCTTTCCTCTCTGAGAGAATATCTTAAGGAAAAAGAAGAACCTTGCAGTCACTATGAGATAGATAAATTTGAGGCTTCTCCTCCTGAAGTCGATACAACAGAAAATAGAAATGATAGTTCACCACTGGATGAATTAGAGTATAGAGATCAGACTGTTAAATATGCAAGTAGCAACACTGTTGCCGAAAGAGCTGAACATGTAGAACAAAACGAAAGTGGCTTTATAAGTAATATTGCACCTACCCAGCTAGACAGTTTTACAAGAAATCAAGCGATCGATAAAGCCAAACAATTAAATATTGATAAACAAAATGAAAGCTTATTTGAGCATGGGTCAAGTAGCCCTGATAACAAAGAAAGGAAGAGATACCTGTACAGACAAACAGCCACTGAAGTTGATGTAGATGTAGCTGTGGAAGTAGCTTTAGCTGAAAAGCCTAGAAGTGCCCAGTTTAATGAAAAAATAACCTACACACGTGTTATGCATGCAAAGAAAGTTCTACCTAAAGCACCATTTAACCCTGAAATGCCTCACGCTACAGGCAAACTTTTACCAACTAAAAGGAGTATATCTGAAACAGTAACCCATAAGGCCAAAATCATGAAAATAACTGCTAAGAAACGAAATAGTGTTCATGTTACTTTTAGACCATCTACTGAGTCTGTTCAATTTTATAACCCTTTAGAAAACAAAGAGGCCCCCTGGAGGGCAAGACTTCGTAAACTCAGTGGCTTCAGTAGTGGTAGCGGTAGTAGCAACACAAGCACCAGCTCATCTGCTGTCTTGGAGCTAGTCAGACCAGGAGTATATAGACCTCTAGATGCAGCCAATGCAGCTTCAGTTAGTAGTAAACAGACTAAGGAATCCACAGAAGCTCAAACACCCATTTTGCAGAAAGAAGGTATTGCAGCTAATCAGTTGCATAATCGTAGTGCACCTAGGTCATCAGGTCAGGAGTCAGGACCACAGCAGGGCTCCCTGGGTGGTGTTTATAAAACTGTTGTACATGCTCTTTCGAAGCCGAAGGCAAATGTTTCCCCACAGAGGCAGAACAGAATACCAGCAGAGGCTCCACTGAGGGATCTGTACAGTCATGTAATGGGCTATTTTGGAAGGAAAGCTGCAGGTGAGCACTAACAGTGTGCACAGTGCAAAAGGAGAAAGGCAGCACCAGTTTGGCTTAATGCAACTGAAGCAAGCTCTTATAAGCAATCAAAAGGCTTTGGGATGATCACTGCTTTCCCTGTTTGGTTATGCATGCGCCTTTAGCCAGCTGAAATTTTCCCCAGCATAAGTTATGTTTACATACTTTAAATTACTAATTTCCCTTTTAAAGATACTTAGTTGAACCTCTTTGCTGCTGAAGACCATCAAGTTAGGGAAGAGGAAGAGACAGTAAATGACCTACCAAGGGATCAAATGCAAGTCTCCCTGCATCATAGCCTACACTAGAGGGCTTTGAAATTCAGCCTACTATATGGCTTTCAGATTTTTTTTTTTTTTTTTTTAATTTCAAGTGGAATAGTAAGTCCTGGTACCTATTGTTTGTCTGTCTGGTAAAAAGACTCGGCTATCGGCTAAAATTGCTAGTTCATTTAGTATGTTTTCTTCCTCCTCCTCCTTCTCTCCTCCAAAACAAAAAATTCTCCCAAAATTAGGCTTTGAAGTTGAGACTTGGCTTTTAATCAATTATGTAACACATACAGAATATTTTTAACATTAAATAAAACAGAGAAATTTCCTCTTATTTGGATGGTTTCATTAGAACAATCCAATGTGGCTTTAGTAATTTTTTGTTTGAACCATTTCAAAACATGCTTTGGCCTTTCTGTATGCATTTACTGAAGTGGATGCAGTTACACCTTGGCAATCTCTATCATTGCTTTCTTTTTCTTTGGATCATGGATGTGCATAAAGGTCTCATGGTAGTCCTTCTTCAGCTAAATATGGGACCTCTGTGGACTGATCAAACAGAACAAGGCTATTGTTCTAATATTCATCATCTTAGTTCACATTTTAAATAACCTTAAATGAACAATAAATTAACTTTCAGCAGTAAGGTAGGTTTTCCTTTTTACACTGTTATGCTAGCATGATTAACAGAATGTTCTGTCATGCATCCTGCATTGAGATGTTAATGCCACCTGAGGGCAGTCTTTGTAGGCATAGCACAATAACAATCTGGGCAGTGGTACTAGTATCATAGTGTCTCAGAAAAAAGATTCTTTCTATATCATTTGTTTTAACATATTTTATGTAGTTTCTCCAAGATAAACAGTTTACATTTGCAAAAGTATTGAGACACAAATTATTTCAAAATATCATTTTATTTGAAATTTTGATATTAAGGTCTTATGTTAAATTCATATTATTTTCACTGTAGTCTCCTGAGCGATAATTTTTATCTAAGAATATGAATTTGAACAAATTGCAACCTTAAAGGCTAAAATGCTATAATTAGATGTAACATTCATAGTATAATTAAGGCAATGTAATTCTATAAAATGTGGAAACTAAAAAAGATAGAAATTAATTAGTTGTTCATAAATCACTGACCATTTTAAAGAGTTTTTTGAGTTTGTATTCCATGTTGCACCATATATTATTTTTATTCCATAAGATTTTATTTGCAAGTATACTAACTGTATACAGTACTACATTGACATTTATCATATTTCTTTATCTAGTGTACTTTCTTCTCCAGCATTGTTCCTCATTAGAAATAATAAAAATTCTTAGGAGTTGTATTTTTTTTTGTGATGTGGAGGAAGGGAGGAGGGATGTATGCTGTATCCTTAAAGCAAGCATTAACAACTTTGAGTAGTGCTTATCTGTAAGCTTTCTTGCTCTTTAAGGTTATACTGGAAATTGACTAACACCTGCTTAGTGGGGAGGAAAAAGGAGATTTACTAATTCTTAAAACTGAATCTATTCAAGAGGAGAAAACTCTTAAATGCATGTTTGGGAAGTAAATTTTTTTTACTGACCTAGGTTTCTTGATTTGACTTCTGTTTTTTAAAATGTATTTTTAAAAGTATCCCTTACTATATGTAGTCATTCATTTGCTTTTAGTCAATAGAGAGGACATGAGTCAAAAGCTGCACCCTCTTGCTAGCGATATTGGCAGTAGCAATACAAATGTTCCTGACCTCATGGATGAGTTTATAGCTGAGAGACTCCGCAGTGGTAGTGCATTGGTAAGCTTTTATGATTTTTTTTTTTTTTTTTTAAAAACAATATGCAAATACATTTATATATTTATTTATTGATCTAGTTACAGAAATATTTTATTCTGGATTTTAAGAAACAGAAATATATTATTTGAAAATTACTGCCCATTAGATTGTAAATCCTGTTTTTTTTTTTAAGTCATGTTGCGTGTATATTATGTCACACACCATGACTTAGAAAACAGGATTTACAATCTAATGGGCAGTGACATAATATTTACACACCATTTTATGCTAAAATTCTTCATTATTGATCCTGCAAACAATGTCACTTCATGCAAGTTAGTATTCTGTTGCATCGTCTCTTTGGGTTGAATGGCACTAATCCTGAGCATAGTTACTTGTATGCATAAGTGTTTGCATGATCAAAGCCTGAATGTGTGTATTAACATACACAGTGTGGTATTGTATATTGTTCTGTGAAGGTGTATTCACTGACACAATCTAGAAAACTAAATATTTTTTAATGGTGTATAGTTTGCCTTCACTTCTTTTCTTTTCACTTCTGTTTATCAAGATATTTTTGTATCAATAGCTTTCTGCTCTAGAGCCTGACTTTTTCACTCTTGCCATATTTGATTAGTAATGCCATGTTTGAGATGTCCTCATTCATAATCATGTAAGCAGTTCTGTATTACAAGCATTGGATTGAGTTATCACTGAATGATTATGAAAAGAGGCAACTGATTGGAGAAGATAAATGTTTTGTTAATTGGCAGCGATGGGAAAGGAAAAATATAAAATTACTATTTTATTGCAAGTTTTTCTGTCAATGAAGAGACTGAATGGGAAGCAATTTAAATTTATTTCAAACTTAATGATCACTCCAATTTTGTGTGGCTAGCAAATTCCTTTTCAGTAGGTTGTGGATGTATCCAATGCCGTTCTAAGGTTTGCTTACATATAAAGTTTTCAAAGAGTAGTTGGGCTCCTTAATAGCATGGGGTAAAGAAGGAACAATTTCCATGTAGTTAGTTTGGATTGATTTATCTTCATATCTGATGAATGATAGATAAGTGGCAAGTGATTTGCCTTAAATGTCTGTTCAAATGCTGGTTTTTTCTCCTTCAAAGGTACATCCCATGTTTATCAGATTTGAACTGTTGGTGCACAATATATTGCATAGTCCCAATACAGCCTACAGCATGTATAGAACAAATTGCCAATCCTTTATCTTGTTGCCATGTTCCATTATTCAATTCCAAAACCACTGAATTTTTGGCCAATCTCTGTGTGTATTTAAAGATGTATTTTTTTTTAATTACACCATTCAAAATCATTTGACTCAGATGTTACTTATGCTCCTCGTTCTTAGAAAAGATCTGGTTCTTTCTCTATATGACTCAAAGTTGAACATCATGTGTTGTTACTAAGGAATGAATAACCTTCTACTCATAAAATCAAATTAACCCTTACTATAAAATGGAAAATGTTAACTGAATTATATCAAAGTCATAAACTCATTCTATGGTTTTGGTAAATCAGTTTATTCCCAACAAAACAGAAATAGACACAAAGGGCAGATGAGTAAGGAAAAGGGAAGAACTTGCTTTTAGAAGTAGGTGGTCAGACATGTTGACTGTGCCTGTTATCAGTTCAGGCAGGAAACATGGCTCTTACCTCAGTGTTATAGAAAGTTGTGGTCCCTGCTGAGGTCAGCTGGAATGAGGAATTGAGACCAAGTTGCTGGATGGAATTCTCCCTTGATCTTATGGCAGATTTGTAAAGGGAATGTCAGGCAAGGTCCAAATTGTTAGCCCAACAAGTGCTAAGTTGTTAGATCCATAGACTCATAGAATATTAGGGTTGGAAGAGACCTCAGGAGGTCATCTAGACCAACCCCCTGCTCAAAGCAGGACCAACCTCAGCTAAATCATTCCAGCGAGGGCTTTGTCCAGCTGGGCATTAAAAACCTCTAAGGAAGGGGATTCCACCACCTCCCTAGGTAACCCATTCCAGTGCTTCACCACCCTCCTAGTGAAATAGTTTTTTCCTAATATCCAACCTTGACCTCCTCCACTGCAACTTGAGACCATTGCTCCTTGTTCTGTCATCTTCCACCTCTGAGAACAGCCTAGCTCCATCCCCTTTGGAACCACCCTTCAGGTAGTTGAAGATCCTAGAAACATCAAACTTATGTCATGAAAACTACACCAACCTGGTGAAACCTGTAATTAAGATTAGATAATAGGGAAAGGACAAAGGAAAGAACAGATCAGGTCTAGTGTTTAAAAAAACCAAAAAAAAAACCCTCTCACCTGTTACCTTTAGTCTCTTAACTTTTAGTTCATAGAAAAGTTCAGGATGTTTCATAAAAAAGCTTTTCCAGATTTTTTGAGTTCTCCATCCTCACCCAAATAGTCCAAACTTGTTAAAGGGGCAATTGTGAGAGTCCAGGAACACACACACAAGGTTTCAAACACTTCAGTCTTTGCTGGGTAAGAAAGGATCTGTAGGTTCCATCGTCACAATACATTGAAAAGGTATTCAAGTGAATATTGAGTATTATGTTTAGTGTCTAGGGAATTAAGATATACATAGCATTTGACTCTTGGTGCATATCGAGATTCTGCTTTCAGTTTTGTAGGCTGCAAGTCAAAATTTGTCAAGATTGTTTTATGGAGTTTTTTCTCACAAATACTTAATGAAAGCTAAGGTTGAAAAATTTGTTTAGTATTTTGGAGATAATTTTCAAAATATTCTCTCCCCATATTCTCTGCATCTCTCTAGTTTTAGCAAATATGTTTCACATATTGGCCTCATTCCCACTCTTTTGAAGTGCATGCACATTTGTTTGTTCCCTATTTTTGATGCGCAAAAAGCCCAATGCACAGGTGTGAGTAAGGGATTTGTGTGCACAATGTTATATGCACGTGCAAGATCCACATTTATTACTGGTTCATTGGGTTTTTTGCACACACAACGTAGGCACATGAAAAGTTCACAAAATGTAGGCCCTAGAATTCTCTGCACTGAGCATTTTTTTGATACAGCTTTAAATACTGGAAGAATGGGTTCAATTATTTTTTAATTATTTTAATAAAGGAGGTAATTTCTAATTAAAACATTGTAACTTGTATCCTTTCAATAAACTAAGTGCATTTTACAAAAAAATATACTTTTAAAAAATATCTATATACATCATAATATCTGGACATTTTGAATTTGGTTATTTGTGAACTATTTCCCTGAATATTGACATTTGTAAATGTGTGATAACTGCTTGCTGTGAATAAGGAAACTATTAGATTGTAAAATACTTTATAATTCTTCAATTTTTAGAATGTAACAAGAAGAGGAAGCAGTCCTGGCAGCCTGGAAGTTCCAAAAGACCTTCCTGATATATTGAACAAGCAGAGCCAAATGCGCCCTATAGATGATCCAGGTGTGCCTTCTGAATGGACGTCTCCTGCCAGTGCAGGAAGCAGTGACCTGATCAGTTCAGATAGCCATTCTGACTCATTCAGTGCTTTCCAGTATGATGGCCACAAATTTGAAAGCAAGTATATTTTTCCAAAAGTAGTAACGTTATTTTTATCTATGCATATTAATTTCCATTTTTAAATAGGTTGTATACAGCTGTCTCATGAACAGGATTTCATATGAACATCCCCTTGATGTTATCAATAGTTTAGTTAGTGAAGTAATATAGTTCTTGAAAGATGCAGTAATTCTTATTAAAATAGCTTTATTCGCTATTTGTATTGTAGTAGAGCCCAAAGCAGAAATGGGGCCTTACTGTGTAATGTGTTGAACAACCACACCACACAACATACCTCGGAAGATATGGTCCCTACACTGAGGAATGTCTTCATGCATTCATTTTGGAAGTCTTTTTTACTTCCTTGAAACATCAGTTTAAATATAAAAAAGTAAAAACCTTTCTTAGTATACAATCTTTTTGACTATGTAGTTAGGAATAAGAACGAGGAGTACTTGTGGCACCTTAGAGACTAACAAATTGATTTGGACATAAGCTTTCGTGGGCTAAACCCACTTCATCGGATGCATGCAGTGGAATAGTGAAGCAAAATACTACCTGATAAGAGACAGCTAATTTATTAAACCATTTTTCTTTGAATTTTTTTATTCATGCCACTCCCATTCTTGTTAATGTGAAGAGGCTACAAGCCTCACTGAGGACACACCTTGTACAACCGAGAAGTGATGGGTTTTCTTTGGAAAATCTATATAAAGTGTAGGAATTATTTACTTTAGAAGTTAAATAACTACCAGATAAAACCTGTGCTTTCTTACTGGTGTAATTTGTAAAGTGTAAAAAAGCCAAAAAAAGGGGTGAGAACTAAAAATTACAAAAAGAGACTGTGAATCTCAGTAATGATTGAACCTGGTGATGCTCTAAACAAAAAGAGACCTCAACCATGCTTGTAGCTGTTTCCATCACTTTACACTGACTCAACAGATATTGTAGGCTTCAGAGCGACACGTGGAATGACAATCCTGGAATCTTACTATATAGCCATAACTATAGCAGAGCGACAAAAGCTATGTTGGCTAAACTGATTTGAGCATGAAATTTTGTCTTTAGTGTTATAATCTCAAAGCTGTTAAATCTAAAACTCAGTACTAAATTGATTGTTTTATATCCTATTTGCAGAAAACTGTCATTTGCCATAATATTCTCAATTAAAGTTGATACTTAAATGTTTTCTTTTAGGCACCCTAGGGCTTGTTTACATGGAGACTTAGTGCTCGGCAAGCTAGGATGTAAATCTACATCGCACTAGCATGCTGTTTAGACCATTCTGTGATGCCCTAAAATTTCTGTCGTGCTTCAGAGTGCACTGTGGAACTTGTAGTACACAGTAGCAGAATCCACATGGCCAGTTAGCACTTGGCAAACTGGTGTGGCATATATTCACACCTTGGTTTGCTGCACACTGTCTCCATGTAGACAAGCCCTCAGTGTTGAGAGCAGATTCCATAATTTGTGCATTATATTATACCTAAATGATGAGAATGAAGTAAAAATATTTGACCTTGCCAACTAATTAGAATGCAGAATATGCAATAGCAGTGTGTTTTGCATAACTCAGTTTTGTGACTGAACCTGGAGAAGCATTTGAAATAGTAAATGGTTTCCTACTTAAATGTTGGTTTTGGAGTAATTTGCTTGAGCTGTTTATTGTTAACATAAAGGGGTGTATACATTTTTACACGGACCATTTTGGAAGTGTCTTTGGTTGGCAATGTTCTTTAAGTTCGTGTTCATCAACAATGGTATAATTAACCACGTAGGTCTTTCCTTACTGTAGATTTCAGTTTTGGCACTGATGCTGGGACACCAGCTTCCACTGAGATGGATGCAATTTCAGGACATCAGCAGAGTGCCGAGGAACAGGAAGTGACTAGTCTAACTACACTCCACATTGATTCTGAAACAAGCAGTCTTAACCAGCAACCATTGTCTGCTGAAGCTGCAACTATTACTGGTAAAGTAGTTGTAAAAATAAATAGATTTTAATTTCAAATATTTTCCCATTCATGCTGAAGAATACAGGTAGCAACTTTGCAATTTAATATATTTTCTGTGTACAGTGATATTTGGAATTCAGGTATTGTGTTAATTGAAATCCTTATGAAAACTGAGTGAAATAACCTGACTAGGAAAAACTTCCTGTTGACTTACATGATCAGCAGATATTGACATAGTGCTAAGTATATGTTTAGTCTTTTCTGGAAAAACTGACAGATTTATCATGTGGAAAACTGTGAGCACATAATATACTGTATCTCATTGATGAAGTGTTACCAACTATTTTTATCGTTACTAGAAAAACAACTAATTTTTTTTATATAAATAACTCTTTAAAGTACTCTGGTATACAGTACTTTTTCAGATCAACTTACAGCTACATCATGGGATGCCTGAGACACTCCTACCTCTTATGTTCTCTCAGGGTGGTCTGTTATGGAGCTTGATGCTTTTGATATGTAAAACATCAACAAATGTGCTGCATACAGTCCATGTTCACTTAAATGTTGAGTTATTAGGTTTTTCTCTTCTCCCCACCCTTTTTAACGTGGTAAAAATCAACCTCTTGAGAACTAGATCGTGGAAAGAATCTTCTCCAAGGAGCATCCTGAGGAAGTGTCTGAGTTTACTAGGGCCAGGATTTATGGATTCCATAGCCAGTTTCACATCCCTTGTTCTCTAGCTGTTTTGTATAATGCTGTGCGAGTTGCAAGCCAAGGATCAAACATGCTTGCTACTTTGAAGTTTCATCTTTGCGACAGAACATCTGTACCCTGGGCTGTGGGTGTCTATAACAAATCAAACTCCTGCATTTTGAGACATACTGAAGACATCTCTACTTTTGGCAGATGAGCCATAGAAATACTCTGTTCCTTTCCTGAAGCTGTCTTTATACTCAGAGAAGCATGGTACTAGCTTCCCTTAGACATTTTTTTTAGTCCCCTCCATATTTATAAACTGTAGTAGCTTTGTTCAGTTGTACTCTTGCTGTCTTAACACTTCCATGCCAAAGAAAGAATTAAGAGGATTAATCTTACTGCCCTAGTTTCCTTCAAATTGTTGACATTTTGGATATTGTTTGTTGAGCCAACATTTCAGGGATAGGCAATTTTTGTTTGGCAAAGATATTTATTTTTGTTAATTTTTTAGCTCTGCTTTCCAGTTTCTTAGTGGGAAATTTTCTTGCTGGAGTATTAACAGGAAATGAATGAGTTTGTCAATCACTGTTCTTTCAGTAGCATTAGAGCAAAGTGATTCTGCAGTACGCTTTGTAAGAATTAGAGGCAACTGTGATGGAGTATCCTTTAGTTTTCTCAAAAGAACTCAATGGCTTATCAAATTCTGCATAATTAGTCTGCCCTTTCCTTTCCAACTCCTGTACAGAATTGTTTTGGTCACTATATCTTTCTATGTGGAGAGAGCAGAAAACAGGAGAAGAAATAAAATAAACTTTATTTTAAGAGGTTTTAAAGACCGTACTTGATGTACTCTCTTCCCCATGCCTCCCTCACCCTAAAATAAGTATTTTCTGCTTCTGTGTGGAAAGGAGTAAATAATGTCCTTTCGGAGAAGTCCTGGAACTTATTAGCCTGAAATGTGCATTTTAAATAAGGCCTGAGGAAAAGATGGAGAACAAGCAACCAGTAGCTAATAAAAGTCCTTTACCTTTTAACTACCAGAGGGAAACAGTATGCTGTGTTGCAGAGCAGTGCTGAAAGGGGGAAAAGTACTTCCCCAGGATATATTGGTGGTGGTTTTCAGATTTTTTTATTTGGTGTCCGCTTTCGTGAACTGGTACTATCTTTTTATTATAAGGGCATTAATTACAATTCCATATTTAAGGTTGTGTTGAGTTTTTCACTTGAAGCAGGAATCCCTGTATTTCACAGTTGAGCAATTTAATTTAGTTTCCTTATTTACCATAATTACTGTTCAGACAACAATTGAATTTACTTTAATGCTTTCTGGATATTATAAATCTAACTTTTAAAGAGAGAACAATTAATTAAAAATCATTGTTTAGCCTTACCTTTTTTTTATTTTTGTTTTGTTCTTGTAGCTAAATTAGTTGCTTTTGGAACTTCACATACATACATGTTTATCATGACATCTCCGATATAGGCTACATTTGTCTAAATTTTAAAAATCAGACGTTTCAACCTTTTCATTGTAACAAGTTTATTTATGCTTAGGTAAGCCAGTGGTTAAATCACATATCTCCCATGTTCTCTGCTACTTAACTAAGCTGCCTGAGCTCGGCTGCTTATGCGGATCTCCAGCCAGCTCCTGACTCAGAGGCAAGGTGAACTATGAGGCAAGAGAAGCAGAACTGGAGAACAGAAACATATCAGACACCTGCTCTCCTTTCCCAGGCCTGTCGGTAGTGGAGACCTGACAAGGATACCAAGAAATAATAAAACATCAGGAGATGTCTTTGCAGCATTGCTCCCCAGCACTGAATTTTACTTCCCTTGGTAGTTGAAGGAATAAGAATGTTCATTTAGCTACAGTTTGCTTGTTCTTTGTATTTTCTCTGGCCCTATTTTTCACATGCAGGGATTTAGACACCAATTAAGTCATATGACTTAAGCATATATGTAAAATCTATACCTATTCAGAAAAATATTCACTTCAGTGGGACTTAAACACATGCCTAAATGCTTTTACTGAATTGGGATCTTGGTGAAGGAAGGTCGGAAGAAACTTGTTTGGTTGAGAACACTGAAAATATTGTCAGAGAAAATAAATACTCTAAAACGATTTGTACTTAATGTAGATATTTGTCAATTAATCCATGAACACGTTTTGGTATCAATTTATCACTTGACTGATGACTTCTTTCACAGCACTATTCACATGGACATCTGCTTGTGGTGTATATCTTTTCTTGGCCAGATTTGATTATAAAAAGAGCTCAGGGGTTTTTTTAATGTTATGTTTAGAAAACTTTTCAGAAGTTCAAAGAAATAGAAAAGATTTTTAAGGTAACTTTTAAAAAATTGCATTTACAGGCTCTGAAAGTGCTTCTCCAATCCAATCTGCTCTTGGATCCCGATCACAGACACCTTCTCCTGCCACTCTGAATGCAGATCATATTGAGCAGAAGGATCTGCAGCTGGATGAGAAGCTCCACCACTCAGTTTTACAGACGCCAGATGACCTAGGCAATATCTGGAATAGAAAACTTTAAAATTGTTCTTTCTTTCTTTTTCAATGCAATATAATTAATAGCTAGTATTCCTTCAGTATGGAACAGTCTCATACAAGGCTTTTATATTAATTTACATTGACAGATTTTGAAACTTTTGAATGAAAATAATTTCCTTAAAGTTACAGAAAGCCCTGTGTTTTTTGTGTACCACTGCAGGTGCTTATCAGTGGATTATTTGGATTATCAGTCCAAAAAACCTTTTAATTGTTCTTTTTATGTTTTAAAATCACAACAATTTAATGTAATGTGCAGTATTGTCCAGAACTGCATCATCACTAATACATAAGTAATGAAGCATCATTACATTTATATGATGCTGTAATGTAATTTTAGAATATCTTTTGTTTTTCTCTTCTGATTTATACAAACTCTTAGTTGAGGCTAAATGGTACCCATTTAATTGTGTGGCACACTTGCTTTGTTGAAATGTTTGTAAGTCAAGAAATTGATAGTTGTTTATGGAAAGGTAACTTTTTTTGCTGACCCTATATGAATCAACTATACCTAACTGCCAAACTTCATGCACAACAAACCCTTAACCACTATGTTGTAAATGCAGTAAAGGTATATAGAGAATATCTACCCTATTGTACATAGCTGCATTTTCCTCCCACATATCCTATATGAACCACTGACCCAAATTCCAGACCCTCCTCCACAACTCACTGACAGACAGAGAGATATATATATATATATATATATCTATATCTATATATATATATATATATAT